GTCTGTGTAGTTCACCGCCACAAGTGACATTAAACTTACCATTGATACCATTCGGTGTGCAGCGGGCAGTAACCAAGAACTGACATAATTTTTTCCCTTTATCTATTTAAGAGCGAATTCTTCGGTCTTCTCTGTTGCTGATAATGGTGTCTAAAAAGCAGCAATTTACATGATGTATCTGACATATTTTTTCAGGCATCATTAACAAATGTATAGGAAGTCTTACTCGCCCAATTTTTTTGGATTGTCCTTTTAAACACATCAATCGGTCACAACAGTCAATAACTTATAACAGCTAAAAGTTACATTTTGCAGCTGATTAAGACGAAAAAAACAAAATCCCTAGTTGTTTTAGAAGAAAAATTTGGAAGAAAACCAGGGATGACAAAGCATATATCTAAATCTTTTTAATTGGAATAACACATCAAAATGCCTTGCTCTGCCCTTGAGCTTAGTGGCATTAAACCATGGGTGGGAATCAACTAATATCTAAAGCAATTAATCAAAGCTAACGATAGAAACTTTGAAACAACTCAGTTTCTTTCTTGGACTTTTAAATTTCATAATCATAGGAAAAGCCATTTTAGTATCTGCAGGTTTAAAATGAAGATTTATTAAATTCTCAGCTGATTAGACTGCTGAAAGGTTTAAACTGCTAAAATTTTAACTACTTCCTTCTCCTCATCTTGACTCTTTTCTGCATATTAGAATCTTCAAAAGAAATTAGAACACCTTTTGTTTTCAAAAGCATTTTTTTTCTAAGCTGAACCTACTTCTCCGTTGTATATTATGTATGCTAAAAAATAACTATTTAAAGGCTGCCAGGTGAGAACTTCTAAAGTTCATCCAGTAATCTAAATTTAATGAATCCCGTTTTCAAATTATATTTGTTATGGCTTCGGCGACCTTCTTTTGACGACAGTGTCTGGTAATTTTGGCGTTGGATACCTCTCAAGTACTCTTCCAGTTTCATTAGCAATTAGATTTAAACTCAGAAGCCAAACCTATCTTTTCTGACGGCGTATCACAGTGGCAGGCATATAAATAGCATCGCTACAGCACATGAGAAAATATTCAATCCCTGAGAAAGGTTATTGCTGTGTACAAAATCAGATCGTTTGCAGTAAAAAAAAAAAGCTTAAAAACAAATCAAAGATTCTATAAACTCTGATAATTTTAAAACGACTTCTCGTTATCAAATTTGAATTTGCAATCTGAAATTCAAATCAATTTTATTTTCAATATTTTCTTTTGTTTTGTTTTAAAAACCCGCAGTCTTTTTACCCTTGAAACTCACATATATCTTAGCTTTTTGAAACAAATTTCCTTCAAAATTTTCATGATTAATGAACTGCAGATGATACTTCTTCAAAAAAATGCATTTTTTGCAAGAAGATTATCACTATTTTGGAAAAGCTGCTAAGCCATAAAATATCAAACGTGTACGGACAAAGAAAGACTTTTTAAGCCTTTGATAATTATGTGAAGACCCAGAAACTTCAGTAAACGTAAGAGCTGCTGAAAGAAATCAAATAAGCGTAATTTTCAAAAGACTGGTTCCAGCGCGAATATGGATCTTTCCATGAAGATTTAAAAGAGTTCTTATTATAACAGGTAATTAATAAACGTCAGAAGTGGTATTAAAAAGAATTGATTCTATCGGGTTCAAAGTTTCCTTATTTTATTTTCAGATTCTACAGCGTGCTGGGCTTATTCTGAATATTCTGTTGCGGATTTTAATCTAAAGCGTAAAGAATGTCTTGCATTTGCAACTTTCTAAGAGCTTTTTAAGTGTTGCGATACGAATTTTTTGAACAGTAATATGAATGTGTCAGTCCTTCTGAGAATTTTCGTAAAATTAATCTTAATCAGGAGGCTAAAATGTTTCAATTCTTATTACATCTAAGTTGACCTCAAGAATTTGTAAGTTTTCCACTTACATTTAGTAGATGATATTTGGAAAATGTAACTAACGCCCGTTTACAGTGCTCCGTTCGCATCATACTTAGCTGCTTGTTTATTTGATGAGTTTTCCTTCAAAATTGCCATCTACCATTGCGGCTTGTAACGTATTTAAGGACCTTATTTAAACACTCATTTTCCTTTATATTTTACTGGGAAGTGACAGCAGTGTTACAGCACTGCCTTAAGTGCTACCCCTTTACATCAAGTGGCCTTTCTGGACTTCGAGTATGGCATTTCCCAAAAATTCAGTTCATCTTCGACAGCATTCGAAAACAGCTAAAGATTTTTGAAAAATTTTATTGTAACAACAGTTCTAAAAAGATGCGTATTTCTCAGCTTCTTGAAAAAAAATAAAATTTTTTTTTTCAAGGTTTATCCTAGTCACTCCATCAGAACGAGGAAATCTAGCTACTTTATAACCGCCTTAATCAGCAACAGGTTTATTTTATTTTTTTTCAAGAAGCTGAGAAATGTGATGGAGTGTGATGGACGAGTACCAGATATCACATCAAATTTTTTGAAGCTTCACAGGTAAATGGGTAGCTTATTCTGCACACCTAACGTTATGTTCCCTCGTTTAATGCTCAATCTCAAATCCCCCTTATGCATCCGCAGTGCGGCTACCCCCTCCACGCCAAATCTTCACAGCAACTTCTTTCTTTTTCCAAAAGAGGTTCGAGAAAAAGGCCAGGCATCTTTTTACTTATTATAAGCAAGTTAACAAACTAATTAAAGCAATTAGCTGCATGATGCGACACCTGACGAACGCTCACGATTTTTTTTAAAGTTATATGATAGTCAACCTAATAAATTTTACAACTTTAAACGATTACTGCTACCACCTTCAGTTACATATAACCTTTTTGTTTCCTACTGTTCTAACGTTACTTTTGTCTTGCGCACAAAACAGCATTATCATTTGTCCAGCCAACGTTAGACAGTCAAATTTCGGCAGAGGATGAATGTAGCACCAACGGAGAACTTCCAAACTATGGCGTGAAAATCGACTGGAAACTTATTTTACTCGTCTGAGCTGTTTTATCTCCTCCACTATCACATGAACCCACCAAAAAATTTCACTGTTGGACAACTATGAGATTCTCGTTGTTCTCGAAAAATAAATGCACACTGTTGTAAAACTAAATTGACAGCTTCCATGCGTAAATACAGCAGTTACGAGTTCCTGAAGCAGATCTGAATGTCCAAAAACGCAGATCATTCATCCACTCTGATGGATTGTGAACTAACAAGGAAATATGCTTCTTAAGACAAACGTTTCTGCAAATTCAGCGCCTAAACTTGTCATTTGCACGTGTAAGAAGATTAATAAACACCACTTTTTCCGTGTTTCTCTCAATATCCCAGAGGTGCTGTTCTCACTATTTAAAATTTCAGCTCTACCTTCGGTCAACGGCAGAGATCTACCGCTCATGTTTTTGCGAACTGATGTTAAACAAATGAGAACTATTCGAAGTCCACTGAGTGAAAGGTCTTCTCGCAAATCAATGTGTTAAGTACCCTACAAATAATAAGTATTTTACCAACTACAACAGACAGTATCTTTCTATCTCGCTTTCCAACCTTAAACAGGAATTCGAAGTCACATGCTAAAACATTGAACTTTTTCAAAATCCATGCTGAAAGTTTTCCAGAAGATAAAAAAGGTAACAAGTATCATCCCCTTATCAAGAGTTTATTTCTAAAAAGTAACAATATTTCTGTTTAGGTTGCGCCGTTGATACTACATTGCTAAATTATGCAGATTTCTTCATAAACGACAAAGTTGTGACTAACGTTTTCTAGCAAGCGACTAAAGACAAAGTTTAAAACACTTTGCTGTTTTTATATCAATGAACAATTTCCTAATTTTTTCTCCGTCAATGTTTTTTGCAAAAAGCAATGTTTATTGTTTTCTACAAGATAACTTCAGCGAAATTTGCTTTAATATTTTTGACAACATCTCATCACAAGCTATCTTTACGAATCCCATATTGACAAATACAATGCTCCGCTATCTATAGCAACTAGAAAATTCGAGTATTTTTTAAACCTTTACCACAAACAAAGATAAATTCCTTAACCCCTCCCACCTGTTCCACTGGAAACTCGTTAAAATTTTCAATTACACGCAAAAAACTTTAAATTTTTTTTTATAAAAAGAACATTCAAGTACTTTACACATGCGCATAATCACAGCGTATTTAAGACCGGTTAACATTCCAGGCAGTCAAACGAAATTAATCATATTAGTAAAAACCTTTAACAGACTCCATTTCGCTTTCAAATGTTTTCAAATCGGACAATTACGTGAAAGAAAGCATCATTATCCATCACTTAAGGACAAATAAGTGACGAAATTTCAGCCAAGTGGACAGCGAAGAGACCCGGCTTATTGAAATTTCAGCTTCTCTCTCTTCTTCACCTTGATCCCGCTACGCACTCTGGATTCTTCAAAAAAGACCAGTGCATCTTTAGATGCCTTCTTCTCAAAAACAGAAGCAATTTCCGGTGTTATATATCGCGTATGCTGAAAATAACCGGTAGGTGAAGAGCAATGGAGAGGTTCATTTGCCAACAACACAAGAAAAAACTCAAAAAAAAACGTACAAATTCTGTTTGATGATCAAAGTTCGGCAGCTTTTTATTTAAAACTGCTTTTAATTTTGATTCGGCAGCCTTCTTCTGACGACGCAGTTCTACAAGTTCAGCATCTGCCGATTCTTTCTCTGTTTCCCTAAAATACAAAATGATTCTAATAGAAGCAGTAAAAATACGAAGCAGTAAATTTTTCGTTCAATTATTTTCAAAAAAAAAAAATCTATTTTGAAAAATCCTAAGAGATCTTCACGGTTTACCAACCTTTCGGGAAGCAAATCAGCTTCTCGTGCTGCTTTAGTAAACCAGTCCTCAGTTGACTTAATCTGAAAAAATTAAAAAAAATATTCTTTGTAAAAGCATGAACATTAAAGTCGATACAAACGTAAGATGTAAAAACAAACGTTTGCTCGATTTGCTCAAGAAGAACTAATTTTATCTTACAAAAACAAAACGACACATACTTTGCTGATGCGAAATTCTATCGACTCAACAGCAGTAGCTGCTTTAATTCGTTCCTTTACAGCATCCATCAAATCTGGTCTATCCATTGGAAAAATAGGAAAGTCCTCTTCTACAACGTTCTACTGGCCATTTCTTTTAAACCAATAGATAAATAAGAAAAAAAGGTGAAAATGTACTTCGATATAAGTTCTGGCATATTCTAGCATAAAACTGGACATCTTTAGGGTCCACTATAATCACAGTGAGACCTTTCTGAGAAACCCTTGCTGTACGGCCGGATCGATGGACATACGACTGAGAATAAACATGTAATCAAACAAAGATATGTGAGACTTTAAGTCGAAAAGCAACCTTACAATTAACAAAAACCATCCACTCTGGTAATCAATAACAGTGCTCTTCCAGCTTGAATTTTTAGAAGTCAATTATATAAAATATACCTCAACAGTTTTTGACACCTGGTAGTGCAGTACGTGCTGAATATTAGGAATATCAAGGCCACGTGCAGCGACATCAGTTGCTATCAGGACTGCATCTTCGCTTTCTGAATTTTTTAAAGATATCAGCATAATTTCCACGCAAATGAACTTTGTTTTGTTAATTCAAGCTAGAAATGTTTAATTTAATCAAAATATATTAAAAATATAAACCTGCGAATTTTTCCAGATTAATCAATCTCTTCCTTTGAAGCATTTTCGCATTCAGTCTTAAAATTATACGGTTGGATAGAACCTAAAATATTTTAATCCACAGAGTTCCTCACCAGTGGAAAACAAATGAAGCAACAATGAATAAATAATTATAAGTGAGAAGAAAGTCCACAATTACTTTTTTAAGAATACTATGAAGTCTGCTAGATGCATCAATAGAGTTGGTGAAAATTAATGTACGCCCTGGATGTCTAATCAGAAAATATAGCACGCTAGCATCCTGTAATGAAAAACAAGTCATCACTGTATTTAAAAGAGTAAACAAAACTAATTTTAATCTTTCAAGCATTTGGGTTTACCTTTTCGAGAAGGCCAGAACAATTGATCCTTGTTTCCACAAGAGTTTCTGGAGTACAGAAGGGTTTCGTGATATCATAAACTCTTTTTTCTGCTCTCAAACCAACAGTTTCAATCAACTTTTCTTAAAACAGTTATAGTATTAGATTGAAAAACTGACCGCAAACGTATAACCTACATTGACTGAACCATTCAACTCACTCAGTTTGTCTTTTGCGGTAGGTGTCAAGACCTGCATTCCAAGCCTTTTAGGTGGCTGGTGTACAAAAGTTAGTGTAGCTGAGAATATTAAAGTCTGGTGCTTTTTAGGGGCCTGTCTAAAATAAATAGAGAGTAATGGTTGATACAGGAAAGGTCCTTGTGGACTGTAGTGACTGAATAAACGAAACTAGAAGACTTTAAAAACACTTTAAAAGAATTACTCCTTTACGCGCTCAAGTATATGTTGAAGTTCCTCGAAGTGTCCTTTTTCCATCATCCGATCAGTTTCGTCAACAACAACCACTCGCAGTTGTGACCAATTGGATAGATAACTATCTACTGACTTTAACCGCATTAAAGCCCAAAACCGACCAGGAGTCGCGACAATGACGTCTGGGTGGTTCGTTAAAAGACGCTCTTGTTTTTGTTGAGATAGTCCACCCACTAATGAAGCACTCTGTAAAATTATTTCGACTACAAAAAGTGTGATGCACTACGTTTTCCCAATTAAGCGTATACGGATGGCACGTATTTGTGCTGACAGAGAGTTGCATCACTGTAAAATTTAGGTATCCTTAAGAAAGCTGCCTTGCAAAACTAGGCCAAAAGTAACGATCAATCACCTTTAATTTTGTATACTTCAAAAAAATATCGAGCTGTTTTTTTATTTGAAGAGCAAGTTCACGAGTTGGGGCAAGAATCAGTCCTTTAAATCCTTCTTCATCTCCAGAACTTTTCAACTCTAGTAAACGACATATTAAAGGGATTATGAATGCGAGAGTCTTCCCACTGCCCTAAAAGAAAGCAGGGTTAACGGATTGTTGTAGAATGAAAAAACATGTTAAAACGCCAAAAAATTCATTTAAACAAATTTGTGAAAATTACCGTCTCGGCGGCTCCCAAAATGTCCATTCTGTCCCTTACTGCGCTTGGAAGAACTAAAGATTGAATTTTTGTGGGTGTTGTGAATCTAAAAGGAATGTTGTCTGAAAAATCCAAAGAAAACAAATCTAAGTAACTAAATGTAATTGAGAAAAAACCTCAGCTCTTTAAGACCCAGCAGAACTTCATCAGGAAGTGTGAACTCGTCCCAAGAGGACAAGTCAATATCAGCATTTTCATGAGAAGTTGTTGCACCTGAATAAAAACAATAATTAATGAGCAAATGAAGTATACAAGAAAGAACGTAAAAACTTATCATTTGTCATTTTCAAAAGAATAAGTGAGTTCGAATACGACGTTTGAAGTCTAAAACCATTTTTGGTTTTACCTAATTCGTTATCCTCAGTACTAACTTCCTCTTCGCATATTCCTTCTTTAATTTGTTTTCCATTTGAAAAATAAACTTTCTTCGCCGCTTTTCTCTTGAAAATTTTCAAACCAAATGGTTTTTTCTTTAGAGATGCCGATTGTTTCTTTCCCACTGCCTTGTGTTTCAATGATTTTACTGGCTCTACAGACTAAAATAGATAAAGATAAAAAAAACTTAAATCAATAAAGATGTAACGAAAAATGTTTCCACAAACAATCGTAATACCTACAAATTACAATCATACAAAAAGTAAACTTTTTAATTTTTACATTTGCGCTGCCTTCTTCTCCCTCCGACCCTTCTGTTTGTTCCGTCTTTTCCTTCCTTTTCTTCTTGGCTACAGTGTCATCTGCAGAAAAAGACTTTCTTTTGAGCGACTTTTTGAACTTCCTTTTCTGAAATTAAATGTACATTAGCAAAAAAAATGAACAGACAAACGTCCTGCATATCTTTATAATTTAAAATTTATGAACTTCTTTCTTGCAGTTTTACTTCATGACAAAAGATTACTTCACAGAAGCATTAATATTAGTGTAATCAATAAAGCCAGCAAATAATTCCTGCCCATACCTTTCTTTTACCAGTCTCATTTCCTACAACGTTGTCCTTCTGTGCACTAAAGTCAAGTTCCTGAAAAGCCGCAAGGTACTGGAAGTCTGAGTTAGCAGCAAAGTCTCCTGGTATTGGGACCGATTTCCAACCTGACCCTGCCTTCAGTACTTTTGGCATGGTAGCCTAAAACAACTTTCTAATGAAACTGAGAGAAAATTTTGCCGTTTTTCGCGGGCCAGCAACAATAAACAGTGATTATAAAAAACAAAACCATAAAATAATTTCTTGTTAATGAAATTCTACAACTGTATTTGCAGTAACTTGCAACATGGTAAGAATCAGAAATCTGAAGTCAGCATTACTTTGTTATAGTTATGCAAAAGCAAAAGCTGTTTGACTTTTTGCTTCGGCATCTTGCCAACAACTTCTTCTGTGCTCAACAGCTTAGAATTTTTGTGAGGTTTTTCTTGCAGGAAATAACCTGCTTAGTGAAAAGGCAATAAAGTCGTAAAGTTTGTCTACTTTTATTTAACTACATCCAGGAACTGAAACAACTGGAGCCCGAAGGAATGCAGTTTAGGTAAGAAAACTGGACATTGTAATTATTCTACATTTGTGACAGTCAGAACCTTCTTGCCAAAACTGGTAACACTTGAGCTGTTTGAAATTTGAAACCTTTTCCGTAAATGTTCATTATAGCGGTGTTGTTGCGTTACATTTTAAAGTTTTTTTGAAATAGTAATAGGTATAGAACAGATATGGAATCTTGATTTGAATCTGATGAATCTTAAGAAAAAAATTTACCAATGTTTATACACCATTGTATCCCTCCTTGTTATTCTTCTCACCTTTATTTTCTTAGACATGAAAAGTTGTTGGTCAGTGGTAAAGTTTTGTAATAGTGGGTCTCCGATGTAGACTGTTATAGGCATTAAATTGACTGCAATAAAAAGGATGGCTTTTAGAAAGGACGAATATATAGATTTTTGAAGAACGACAACTCACACAAATGGAGTTACCAGTGTGCGAAAAGCCTGCTAGAGAAATTTTGGTCTCAGAATTAGGAACGAAAACTTAGTTAGTTCTAATTAACAATTCTTATCTGTATTTTGATTTTTTTCTCATTAGTTGTCGTAATGTAGCTTCGAATTTATTTTCTGGATAGATATTGTTTGATGTTCTGGATGCTTCTGGGTACAAAGAGCACTGGTAGCTTTTCTAGCTGGGATGGACGGTATAAGTTAGAGCTAAAAAATTATGAGGAGTACTGTGATGAAGGGGAAGTATGGTTTGGTAAGGCTGCGGAAAGTCGTATGGTGAAGTATTTAGCCAGTCTGAAATTACCGTTCACAGCACGGATCGTTGATTTAGGATGTGGCAATGGGTCGCTGCTGAGACATTTAGTAAGTCTGAGAGTATTCTGAAAATTTAGGCTAAATTACTTTCAACTAAAACTTTTTTGAAGATACAAAGAATTTTTCATGCTTCGCTTTAAATACTTTTAAACTTCATAGAGACAGCGCGGATTCCTCTCTCTGACAGGTGTCGATTATTGCAGAGATGCTATCACTCTTGCAAAATCGGTAACTGTGCAAGAGGAGAAAGATCTTGAAGCAGCTTTACCCCCTATCCAGTTCCAGGTACCGTTTTGATGAATAGCAAGATTCTCCTTAAAAAGTCATTTTGTTTCGCCTCTATTGTTGCGATGTAAAATAAAAGCAGTGGGTTTATTTCCTTACCGATGTATTGGTAATACTATGGCATTCTTTGCTTTTTATCAATTCAAAATAGTTTGAAACTTACATAATTTCTAGGTTGTTGATTTACTAAGCGTGGAAGGTAGTCTTGGTACTTTTGCAGTTGTCCTTGATAAAGGAACTTGGGATGCAATGAGTCTTTCTGATGAGTACGAACGACGTTTAGCGTCATATCGTTCGTTATTGTGTCGCATATTAGACAAAAACGGCTTATTTATTATTTGTTCGTGTAATTTTGTAAGGCAAGTTTTAGTTTTATTAATACGTAATTTCTGTAACATCTTCTTAATTACCAATAGGATAATTTGTTTTTGATATGTTTTTTTACTCAGCAATGATTTAAAAACAGAAATAATTTTCCTTTCCAGGGATGAACTTTGTGAGCAGTTTGGCGTGTCACCATTACGTTTCAAGCTTGAGATTGAACCTGAAAATTCGTTTAGTTTTGGTGGGAAAAAGGGAGTGACATCGACTACAGTGGTGTTTGAGAAGATCTCATAATTATTATAGGAAGTAAGGTTTAGTAAAACCAATATTCATAAACTGCTTGTTGTTTGCTTAGCAAGTCTTACCTCGGCCTTTTCCTTATATTTCTTGTTTATTCTGATGGTATTCTTTTCTACGAACGTTTAACAATTTTTTGTTGCTTTTTAACACATGAGTCGTTTAATAAATTAAGCTTAAAAAGCCGCAACTTTCTTCGCATTTTTTCGTTTATTCATTTTTACTTTTTTCTTAATGGTTTTAAAACTTATTAGAATATGCGCCGCCTATCGTAATTCACTATTGCACTAGAGACGTTCTTTTATTGCTTCTTCGTTGGCTGTAAAATGTATACTTCTCAGTTTTCAAAGTCTGTCTCAATATGGGAGAATTTTGTATTCCAGCTTCTATTACATTATATGATGCTTAAGTAATCATTATTCTCAATTAGCTGTAGTGTAAATTGTTTGCGTGCTAATTTAACATATAAACGGCTAAGTTGTTTGAGGTTTTTAGGAAACCGTGAAGTTGGAAACTATTTAAATGTATTATTTTCCTCCTTTTCTGAGGACATTCACCATTTGCAAAATTTTTGTAGTTTTTTAGGCTGTGGTTGTGGGTTAAGTTTACATGTTTAGCTTCTATGAAACTTCTTGTGTAAATCATTTCTATATGGACCTTTATTAGATTTCATGATTCTGGAAATGACCATAATCTAATTATACAGGAAGAAAGTATTTTAAATTATAGAACCGTTCTTGATCGACCAGCCTGAGTGCCGCACTGTCATACTTGAAATTTTTCAAAACGTCATTTCTTCTCCTTGTCGTGACTGTGCCGCTTTGTTTACTTCGAAGTAACGTAACAAAGCCATTGTTTTCCTGTTCGACTCTTCGCGTCTTTTTAGACCGTATTTTTGGCTTTCCGTTGCCTTTATTTCTTCCGCTTCATCAACCCAAGTCTTTTTTCTAATTCAGTCGTTCTCATCTTTAATGTTCATCGCATAGGTGAATGCTCTACTATTCGTTAAACAATAATCTTGGTTCTCCTGAAAAAATTTAAGCGAAAATTTAGAGGTAAATTATAGTTCTCTTTTCTTCTCTTTTTTGTGCGATGGATACATTGACATTTGCAATGTTGCAGTAGAATTTCGTGACTGAACTAACTGTAGGCTTCAAGCAATTTTTTGCGATTAATTTGCTAACCCTTGAATTTAAATGCTTACTTTTGAGTTCAGTCTTATATTTGTTCTAACAATCCGACCATGAGTATCCTGAGTACCTCGATAGTTTGGTGCAATATAAGAAGGGTTAGCAGAAGTTATAAAGCTTTTCTGTAACCCTCTCCAGATATTCAGCTGAAAGCTACTTTCAAAAAAGATTTCTCGTATATTTCAACTGTTCATTATTTGATATTGCAAGAAATGAATATTGAACAGAATATATTTTTGCGCGTTGGAGGTCCAACAAAAATATTGTTTCAACTTTTCAGTTTTTTCTTCTTAAATTTAATTATTACAAGGTCTTAGAAACATATAACTCACTGTTTGAAGTGTAATATAAAGAGGTTGGTTGAGAAGGATCCACGTTACGGTCTCCTGACAGCCGGGTGAAGTCATAGATCCTTCATATGTGATGTATCCTGCATTCGTCGGTAACAGCTTCCACAGTGCAAAGTTTTTGATTACCACGGCTTGTTCTAATAATTTCTAGGGCAACTCTTGTTTTAGACGTTTAATTTAAATGCATTTAAAAAGAAATGTATTCTTGCTTTAGCACTTAAAATGTGAAATTCAAATTGGCGCAATGAATGAGGGTATAGGAGACTTTACTTCTGAACATTATACGACGAGCTTTTTCGCTTATCTGTTGAAGTTCTCTACTAGTGTGTTTTCCGATCTGAAAATTTCCTATTTATCTTTATGCATAACTTTTCTACTGCTTTTTAAAGTCTATGGAGTTTATTTTTTTCTTATCACTTTGCTCTTATTCTCAGCGTCATAACCGATAGTTCGAGAAAATAAGAAGGAAGGCATCTTCAAAAATGGTAAATATATGACTTCTTGAAGCTAACCTTAACGAAAACAGAGATGCCAACAATTCCATGCGGGTTATTGAGCGCTGCAGAAAAGTTGCCATAAATTTCACTGTTAATCGCTATCGCTTGAAGCTGAAAAATGTTATTTCTTCTTTGGTGTGGAAAGAAAAATTGAGAACCTAGAATTTAAATTTAGATTTTATAGTGTCTTGCTATTTTTTTCAGACGATATTGAAAAGCCTCATTTTTTACCTCCATCGGGAGTCGCTGAAAGTCAAATGAGTGCTCTGATCCGCTTGATTCATTCATGGAATAATGAATATCAACTCTGAGCAAGCGGTATCGATAGGTTCCTAGAGGTCCGCCTGTGATATTTGTACTGGGCCATCGTGCAGTATTAGCCACCCGAATACGGGGCATTTGACCAGTATTTACTTGGTCGATCAACACCTTTAATTCAGTTATTTAGTCTAAGTTACTCAATGTTAACCAACTGAGTGCAAGCAACACTTGATAAGCAGTGAAAAATCTGCGTCAATATAATCAGCAATGATTGTTGATCACAAATAATGAAGTTAAAAAATCTCTTTAAAACGTTTACCAGATTTTCATCAGTTACTAACGGAGGTAAGTGAGCGTCATAAATAAGTTTCTTGAGCTCGATGTTAATCGGTGATTGCAATTTACCGTTGCTGCACATTCGCCATTTACTATCCAGCAGACCCCAATTTTTTGGACCTACAATTTTGTGTTGAATCTATTACTGAAAAACGAAGTAGGCATTTTCATGCATAATATTTAAGTTAGTCAATGTGATTTTGTTTATATTATCTGTGAAAATTTCTCGTTGACATATTTAACCATAACATTTTATGCATGCAGAAACTAGCAAAAACCTTGTAAATATAACAGTTCTGTAAACAATTTTTACCTTCTAATGTATCAGAATCGTATGACCATGTCTGTTTATCATTTTTACAAAAATTTCTAGAGATCAGCATTAAACCAACAAAGAATACAATATTCATTGAAGTGGTTATTTGAAAACAGCAGAGCTGCATCCCTTTCGATAATCCAGAATCCGTTGATCTAAAACAGTATTCAATGTTTTTTTTTGTTCCTTCGTCGCAGAAGACAAAATTAAGGCTAGACGACTGGTCTGATGTCTAAAACCAAATCTGGCAAACTGTTTTTTTTTAGCAATTGATTTTTGGATAAGTGAAAAAAATTTTTTCTGATAATTTTTCTTTAGCATCAAAAATCGACTTCGGCAAATTTTTTGTGATTATACTGCTCTTCCTCTACCAATCTCTATCTCGTTGCCTCTCGAGAGGCTACTCTCGAATCAGCTATCTAAAATCGACGATTAAGGAAACAATTATTACGCATAGATATGGTTGAAAATAAAGAAAAAAGTGAAAGTGTATTTGAAGATATGAAGAAGACAGGACAGACGTTTCATGATTCTCTAAGCGCTTCTAAACGGTTTTCTCAAATGTCTTTCTTTGGAAATTGGAAACTTAAAGCGTTGTACTTTTAGCTCTTGAAAGATTGTCGGATTATACCTCCAAAAGCATTTTGCACTTTTCTTTTCCAGTCACTATACCTTAAAAAAAAAAAAAGACGCGTAAATATATAAGGCTTTTTTCCCATTTCTATTTCTCGGTTCTAAACCTTTTTTCTGTCATTTTCTCAATTTGCAATACGAGACGATTTGTTTTCTTTTTTCTCCTCTCTCTTTCTGAAAGGCCAAATTAAGGAAAAAAAATGCACAATTTTTCTCTTTGCAAAAGTTCCCAAAGAAATTATCGCTCATTGACGACACAATCTTTTAATACATTTATAGCGAACACTAACAATTTTAACGTAAAACGTATTATATGTGATGATGATGAGGAAGCCTACACGTAGAATCCAAAAAAAAAAAAAAAAAAGAGAGACTTCAAACAGTTCTCTGCTTTTGCTTTTGTTTTTTTCTTTTTTTTTCGAAAGGAAAGGGAAAAGCTTTTTAAACGGTCTCACTATTTTGAATGTCACAAAAAAAGAAATTGGAGAAGAAAAACAGTGGAAAAATTGAGGAGAAGCGGTAGGATAAGGAAACCTTTTAATTGTTGAAAAGAAATATGCGCTTACACTGGCAACATACAAATGGTGTGTAAATTTTTGGAACACTCACTGCGCTCTTGCCAAGCAGCTAAAAGATTGAACCGAGGAAGGGGGGGAAAGGAGGGAAGGACGAAGGGAGGGAAGGAGGGAGGGAGGGAGGAAGGTAGGAAGAAGGGGAGACAGGCACTACACGGCGGTAGGTGATCAAAAGGAATGGAAAAAAAGAGATGGCAACCAGGGTGACGGTTAACAGAGGGGTTCGAAGGACGACAACAGGCAGGCTGTCTGAATCGGTATCACAGCAAACCCAATGGATTTAATAATAAGAAATAAAGGAAAAGAAATAATAACTGGAGACAACAATTTTTTTTTTTTCAACTTTTTTTCC